AAAAAGTGAGGAGCCGAGCAAATACGAACGGTCTGGGAACCAATGCTTGAAAATAAGTGTGCAAAACGCTTTGCACTACGTGTCCGGTCTATGTGTTCTCTGGTTAGTGATATAACGCATAACAATTCAATTTACGATGCCATCAGTATAATTTCAGCATACGTGAAAAGTACACACATATGTACATATATGCTTTATATGTATGTATGTATAGTTGTCAAGCTGCCCGCCAAATCAAGTATCTGTCTGTCCGTCTCAGTTGTTTCATCTGCCCCTCTCTCAGGCACACTCTGTTTATTTCTCAGAATATATCTTTGTCCCTCTCTATTCCGATATATTATAATTTCTCTCTCACCCAATATGTTTCTCTGTCTCTAACTCTATCTCTGTCTCTCTCTATCTCACTCTGTCCCTGCTTGCACCTTTATCTCTCTTCTTCCTCACTTTGAATGTTAATTTCATAGCTATTCTATTTGCCTGTCTTTCTTTCTCAATCTATTTGTCTCTCTCTCTCTCTATCTCTTTTTTTAACCATATTTTTCCTTTTCTTTTCATCATTTCGTTTCTCTCTATCTCTTTTTACCTCTGGATACAACTCCTACTCTCTCAGTCCCTCTCTGTATCCCTTTCTCTAGATTGAATTTTCTCCATCTCTTTCTCTGTCTATTCTCCTGTCTATACATACCTCTTTCTTCCTCTCTGCCTCATTCTTTCTCCAATTCTCTCTCTCTCCCTCTGTTGCAATTATACATGAACATAAAAGCTTAATTTACGAAAACAAAATTTAACTAGTCTATTGCAGAAAAGCTCTCAAAAAATGCCAAACTTAACGAAAAATTCTTAAAAAATTCACCAATGCCTTTTCAACACAGAGAGCTTTACGGATGATAAAGCTTAAATTAAGTTGAATGATGCACCTCTCAAACAGTGCACAGTTGAGTTTGTGTTTCAGTTGGAAAGCTCAAGCTCAACGGAATGCTCAGCTCCAAGCAGAAGCTTTAATTTCTTAGTTGGCTAACAGAAATACAGACAAGCCGAAGGCCCCAGTAGACAGTGACTCATTCTAAGTTGGTTTTAATTTTATATGAATTCTAACATATTATAAACAAATAATTGCCCAGCTTTAAATAGTTGTTGAAGTTCATCAACTATTGTGATGGCCATAGGATTAAAACACATTTATATCACCAATTATTTTTATTAAGCTCATAATATATAACATTTATCTAGCTGCGATATGATGAGTCACTGTCTACTGGGGACTTCGGCTTCATTATGGAGCAAGACAAATATTTTTACATAAGCGATGCGTAGAAGAGCTAAAAGCCTGTCCTAAAAACAGCTGTCTTTCAATTGAAATCTAAAAAAAGCAATAAAATATTTACCTAACTCGCAAAATAAAATTAATTATAGTAAAGCAGATATAGTAAATGAGTATGTATGTACATATATGACCGTCTAGAATTATACAATTTAAATGATTAAATATAAGAAGATTCGAAGGATTCGATATTTCTTATTCCCTCAATTTATAAGTGTCTCGGGCAACTCATCCTCAAACTAGGTTTTGCACAGTTTCGGCTTGAAAGATTGGGAAATGAAGACCCATTTAAATTGACAAACGAATTTTTGGTTTTTTTTTTAATATGTATTTGCTCACAAACATATAGAATTCATAAGTTTTTATTTGTTTTTATTTTGTTTTATTTTATTTTTGCTAATTGATTTACTTATTGATAATATTTTTCGTAAATACTGCAATTGCAATAGCCTTAAACAAAAAAGTTTTACTAAACTTAAAACAAGTACGGAAATATATGATGCAAAAGTTGAAATATATTTAAAATTAGGAAAGATAAAAGCGAATTATTCATATATCTAAGCCTATGTATATATAGTAGATACTCGGCGTTGTCGTGTTTGTAGTTCCGTTTCTCATATACATATACGCATTTATTGTGTCACACGTTATATATCTCTTAGGGATTTGTGTTTTTGGAAATAGCAGTTCGATATACAAGATACATTCACTATAACTAAGGAGAAACCTAGAGAAATAATAATAATAATATATATGTATGTATACATGCAGGTTTCCATAAATATGTGTGAAAAGCAACCCAAATCGACGCAATGGATGGGATGCTTTCGTATTTCTCTGCTTTTTGGTAAAATAAATCTATTTCAGCTGTTGCAACATCCGTATCGATTCATCTGCGTGCGAGTCTTACGCCGTCTTCTTCTTCTTGAACTTGTTCTTGAGCAGTCCCGGCAGCAGCGAAGCGCACGCGCACAACGTCAGCACGCCCATCGAGGTCCAGGAGAAGGCTTCACTTGAGCTGCTCATCTTCTGCAGCGTTTTGCCCGCTTGAATAGCGATGACGGACGGCGGAGCCACGCCGCAGAAGGTGCCCAGGGCGAAGATGTGGAGCGGCACGCCAATGACCGGCGAGGCCAAATTGATGAACCAGTTGGGCAGGATCGGTGTCATCCGCAGAAAGAGCATGTAGTTGAACAGGCTGTCACGGTACTCCTCGACGTGGCGGGACCATTCGCTCGTCTTCTTTGGCCAAAAGTGTCGGATGAGACGGCGTCCGACCAGATTGGAGAGGGTATAGCAAAGCGTGGCGCCCAGCGCCGAGCAAAAGCAAATGAGAAACAACGCAATGGGGAATTTGTACAAGAATCCAAGTAAGATCGACAGGAATAACGACCCCGGAATGGCAAATGTTTGTAGGCTAGAGAACGCATTCAGTTAAGGCAACCAATTCAAGTAAGATGTGTATGTATGTAGAATAAAGTGTGTGAATGGCATGTGTTCATATTGCCTAGGGTCTAGATAATCGAGTCTAAAAACAGATCATCAGATATATTGCCAACTGACTGGGCTGATGGCCAACTAACTATTAATAGCCAAGTAACACACGAGTTGACAATGGCAATCGCGATCGCACCGGTAATCGGCATTCGCCCGCCCATTCGCCTTTGTCCCAGAAGCTAAGACGTGCCCGAGCCAAGCAAATGAACGATAACATAAAATGGCAAATGAAACGTTTACATTTCGCTATGCGATAAAAAACCAAAAGCGTGCTGCGAGAATACAATAAATTTTGATCAAATGCTGCTGACTCAAATTTTGCACTGTCTGCTTAACGCCCATTTAGTACATTGGATTAGAGCTTAGATTTTAGATTAATTAAATAACCAAGGTAGTTTCATGCTATGTTTCAAAACCTGATAACTGATATACATATATGTAATTCAAATCTCATGTTCCCACATTTGTACATACATATGTGTATATATATACATATGCATATGTATTTAAGTACATACATACATATATCACCGAGTTTTATCCAATGGAATCTGACACGTGGAATAAATATTTTCGTATTGAATGCGCTATACAAAAACGTCTTTAACAGTCCGCGTGAAAGATTAGTCATAATAAAAATATAAATAAAAAATAAAAACTTTTGTCAGCTTGAATTTAAATATCACATATGTACATATGTATGTATGTAGGTAACTACACAAATATTGTAAATCAAGATTACAAGCCTTGGGCAAAATTTGTATCGTTCTGTAGCAAAATTGAGGGCAATATTTACATACATACATATATGCAAACATATGTATGTATGTATGTATGCACGTAGTGTACAGATGAATATACATGCGCACATTCACGATTACCAAATGCTTTACTAATACATTCGCGCGATCACAGCAACACACACACATATATACATAAGCATGTACATATGTATGTATATTAACAACAAAACCAGCTTACAATCATTCGATCGCTACGTAAAATCGCAATTGCGTCGCCAACTACTTTGACGAATTGTAAAAAATAAAAAATAAATATACAAACACACGTATGCCAACAGAAGCTGAGTGTTTGCATATATGTACATATGTATGTATACACATATACTTATATTTATATTTACGTGCAGATGTAGATCGTGCTTCTTAATGAGCAAAGACAATGCAAATTAAAGAGTGACCAGCTCTCAGCTGTTTTGATATATTAGACATAACACACATACCAACGCACAAGCGCGTGTGTGCGTTTGCTTATGTTTTGTTTTATACCCTTGATCAAAGTTGTTGAGAAATGTAAAATACGCAGCAATTTGGCATTTTGAAAATAATGAAAAATAATCTGTATGTTGCCGTTTTCTGTCTATTTCAAGTCGTTCTAATCTCGCAACTATTCGAACATTCCTTTATCTTAACTCTTATACACACACATGCATACATACATACAATCGGTATGTACATCACAAATAGAATTGTTTTCAGCATTCCAAGAGTATTTCGAATTCGCCATTCGTATTATCTTGCTTTATTTATAAACGTGCCTGAGAACGCAAATCAGAGTGCGATAGCAAGAGAGTTTCCAGGTATGCGTCATCATGCGATTCCTCTCTTGCTACTGCAGAGAGTGCAAAGTGCACTCGTTCTATACCAGCAGCGTCAAACAGCTGATCAATTTGAGACATGTCCGCTCTTTTCGTTCTTTACGTTTTTTCATTGAATTTTTTATATGTATGTACATATGTAGATACTTATGTATGTATGTGTGTGTTTGTAAATTTTACTTCCTACATGCATCCAAAGCAACGACTACGTCGTCGTCTTCAATGCTAATTATGCGTGCCCGTGCATAATATTATAGAAATTTACGCGGGTGTATCGACGCACGTGTTGTGCGATTGTTGACCATGAATATTATTGCTGTTGTCGCACACACTTTTTTGGTCTAAGCTGACCATTTGTAGAGTATTTAAAAAAAGGGGTCAAGGTTAAATATAAGTATGCGACGAACGTGAAACTTATTGCGCAAGTGCCGTTATCTAGACACACACACACATGCATATATGTATGTCCATGTATGTATGTGCGTGTGATAGTTAATCAGATTAGTTAAATATTTGTTTTGGAAAAGGATACAATACATAGGCGACAACAACGCCGAACATCACTTCAAAATAATACATGTCCTTGTAGCGATCCAGGACCTTTGCTAGCATCTTCGCATCTTGAATATCACGTGGTATTTTCAAATGTTCCTTCTCAGAGCTAAAACGAAACACATATAAAAAAATAAACAAAACAAAAAGCGTTACTTACGAATGTAATAAATGCACAAGCTTCGTCTGCTGCGTATATGTATGTGTATGCGTATGTATGTGTGTCTGTGCTTCTGTGCGAGTGTAAAGTGGCGTGACTTTTAGTGAGCGCAAGCTCCCGTGCAAAGCTCGATATAATGTCAGGGGGAATTGACACAAGCACAGGTGACAGCGACTGTTCGAGCCGTGAATGCCCGACTAGAGCGGTTAGCCCTATTTAATGCTTTATAATAAAAGCTGATGTGCTAATTGACCGACTTTGAGTAAACTAGGAAATCTACCTGTACATATATATACATATATACATATATGCTCAAGATTAGAATAAATAAATGATTATATAAAAAGTATATAAATCTTTTGTTAATTTAAAGTGCGGAAACATCTTTAATAAACTTGGCTCTCATATCTAGAATAATCTTCTTGTTGGCATTATATCTCGTCACTTTGGGGGAGCCCTCAGAGAGATTTCTATTAGAGATACATAAATCTATATACATACGTATGTATATAGATATAACGTATAGATCACATACCTTATATAGTATTTTTCCTGATGGCATTAGATGAACTCCGAAGAATTTAGAGGGCGATAGAGTTTTCTCTTACATCAAATTTACAATTTACAATTAATATGGATATATGGGTAACTAGTAGAACAAAGCTGTTAGCTTAACTAATTATAGTTTGCGTCTATTACTATTAGACACATAGCGTAATATGGAAATCTGCTCCACTTTTTATGCACGTTTTTTGCACATGTTAACAACTCATTAAACCTTAGTTAATCCCATTTGTACGCACAGACTTGCAGTTTTTGTATGCAATGGAAAAAGAAAATGTTTGATCAACACTCACGCATTCAATTCGGGAAATATTGCATATACGTAGAACATGGTCATCAAACTGGCCACAAATATTGCAACCACGATGACTAGAGATTTCTTGGTGGCTTTTCGCTCGTCCGCAGACATTGCCTGTTTTTGGGGCGTCACTGGTGGCGGCTGCTGCGGCTGTTGTAGTTGTTGTTGCTCCTGCTGTTGTTGTTCCTGCTGATGCTGCTGCTGTAGCTGTGGTTGGAGTTGATTCGGTGGTTTTGGCTTGCCATTTGCGGGAATCCGCGAACGCACATTTGACATCTTATCAGTAATATCTGTGTTAACGTGAAAACAAACAGGTCAGCAAAGAAACACGTCATGTGCAATAGAGTGCGACAGAGATAGAGCGAGTGCGAAATAGAATTCGCAGGCGTGGGGGTAGTTGGGAAGGAGGCGCAGTATAGCTAAATTGATTTACTACTTACCGCTGTTCCGACTGCTGTTACTGATAAGTGTTACGCCGCTGTCGCCGTAGCTGTTGCTATTGCTGTTGCTCTCCGTTTTGCAAGACATCTTTAAAATCGTTAAAAGCACTGGCGATGCGAGTGAATTCTCGATTTGGATTAACACAGCGCTTGAGAGCACTTTGCCAGTTTCCGCGTTTGGCTTTGCTTGCGAGCTTTTCAGGGTGCTCCGCTTCTAAATGTATCAACTGCTTTTTTTTTTTTTTTTTTTTTTTTTTTTTTTTTTTTTTTTTTTTTTTTTTGTTATTGTTGGTGCTGTTGCTGCATGTGTATGAGTATGTGTGTTTGCGCGCCAGCACTAGTCGCAACTATCCATTCGTACATATACAATTTAATCGATAAAAACGACGCACGTAAAAACAGAAGCTGTCCGCGACGACAATCAATGACAATTTTATATATTAGTTTGTCTTAGATGTGGCCCATCTCTTATACCCATGATATCATGCAATCAGGTTGCATTATTTAAAAACTCATGTTTTCTTTCTTTATTAATTAGACGACGGAGCTCACCCCACTCTTCTGTTTCGCGTAACACTCTTTTCGGTGTGGCCAGAGATTACTAACAGCTAAAATACAGCATGCGTCATTGATTTCAGAGAAAAATACTACTGCTGTAAATTACAGCTGGAAATAATAATACTAGCAAATGTCGGTTTTGAAAAACTGAACCATATGTTAGCATCAGCATTAAAATTTGACAGATAATTTTCCGTTATGTGAATAGAAATATTTTAAACTTTTTATTTAAAATATATTAACCTTTTCATTATTCAAATAAACTTAGTTACATTTTTTCATTTCATTTCGCCCTTCTTTTGTAGATAAAAGGCATTATGTGCCTGAGCAAATGATACATGTTTAAATTTTTCATCGGATCTTACAAATCATAAGAGCTGTTGTTTGAGTCAGTCATATTTATAAAGAAATCGTTGTCAGCATATTCTGATTCGTTTGCAAAATTCAAAGGTGCGAAATTTATCATATTTACGTTATTGGAATTATTAGAAATATTATTCAAATTATTACTTGAATTCATAGTTTCTGTTTCGTTTTTATCCTCATCCATGTCCTCTTCGGGCATGGACTCATTGCATTGAAAAACATGATCATAATTTTTGTTATCACATCCAGGAATTTCGAGTGACAATGTCGGCAAAATTTCCACATGTTCGACTACAGCTTTATCAGGAAAATTTTTCGTATCGGGCGTATTTTCTACCTCTAGCTGCGATGACTCTGAGGTTACGTCAGATATGTCAACCATATCAGTAGGAAGATCAACGGTCTCGATGCCGCTGGCGTGAGATGGCGAGGGCGAAGGGGCAAAATGTACCTGCTTATTGGGATTTGCTGTAGCATCAAGCTCATTAGAACTGTCCATTGAGCGATTGAGAACTAATATGGAGCGCAACGGTGGATCCATTGATGTGTCCATGGCAATAGCTTTATCAACGACTTTGTTTACCTCAGCATACTTGTTGATGAAATCCAATGCCGGCTGCAGCACGAGCGGTTCAACTTTCTTGGGCAGAGCCATAGCCTTGGTCTCGCAAGCCTTGACCTTGATGCCGGGTGGAAATGGAATCTTCCGCTGTTGAAAGAGTCGGCAGTATGAGAGCGAAAATGTAAGGCAAGTGCATTTCCCTTATGTTTACCTCAGCGATTTGCTTCCTCAGCTGCACCAAGGAAACAATCTTTTTGTTTCGCTGCTGAGTGGCCCGAGCCAATTTCTCGTTCCAGTAGCGCTCCATTTCAGCTGATTCTAAGACAATCCTCGAATTTTCTTCCTGTGCCTCCTTCAATTGTAGCTGCCATTTACGAAAGTCCTGAACTACACGCACACATAATTTGTTGTGTTTTAAATTCTAGTATACATACATATGTATTTAAGAATTAAGGGTACAAACCAATTGAGCGCGCTTCCATAGCGACTTTTCCCTCCAGCTGGAGTTTCTGCTCCATTTCGATGGCCCTGATTTTCTGCTGCACCTCCCGTTCCTTCCGCATAACCTCGAAGCTCAGCATATTCTTGATTTTCTCATCGTCGAACAAGTTGGCCATTGCCAGTAGATATTCGTATGAGCTTTGTATAGTTTTGGTAACGGTCTCCATCTGTTTAATTTCTTCTTGACGCACATCGGTCGCTTCACGCGCCAACACCATGTCGATACGCAAATTCGGTGTTTCCTTATGAAGGTCTGAAAATTGCGTAAATTACCTGGTATGCACTTAAAACTTTTTTGTAATGGCGGCTAAACGTACTTTTCTTTATTTTCTTGAGCTCTTCTTTGTCCTTAAGCGCATTTTCAAGTCGAGTTAATACACTACGCAAATCTTCATTTGATGTTGCCAAATGCATAATACTTTGGAACACTTGGGGAAAATATTCATAAGCCATTTCGCTTAATTTTTCTAGCTGCATATAGGCGCGAAGTGACTCTGCAAGTCAAAGCGTTAACAGTTATAAATTGCATATATCGATGATTTCGAATCTTTGAACACGACCATTAATCGGAACTGGAACTCATTTGGGAATTTCCTTCTTACAACTTTAAGTATTTTTTTCTATTTGCTGTAGCCTTCTTTTTATTATAGGGTAGTTAAAACTACGTGTTTTTTCCTTGGTGTTTAATTTTTTTTTTCTTTGTCAAATTGGTGTTAGGTGGGAAATGATATATGTATGTAATTGCTTTCGATAAGAAAGCGCCGCTATTTAAGCAATGCACTCGATTGCTGCCAATTGTATGTATGCAAAGTCAAATATCGATGTTTCAATTTCATCTTACAGCACTATTATAAATGGTATCACTCATGCGCGAAATCTGGCAATATTTATCGTGACGCACACTAACACACACAGGCAATCAAGCTAAGCAATCACTTTCCGAAATTGTCTGCGCTACCCTGAAGATGATGTGAAGAAGTTAATAACACAATCGAAACGCGATATTCAACGCGACTCATTGCGCTTTGGCAGCAATCTTTAAAATTAATTAGTTTACGTGACGCTATTTGCATGCCAAGCTGGCTCTGGGAATTTTGTTCATATCTAGCTAACTAGTCCACCATCTCCCTTTTCGGGATGTCACATTTCGAGCGTGAACGGGGCTCAGGCCCGCTGCCGAACCGTTGGCTTTACTGTCCACGAAAAAGCGACTCAATCATAGCAGACCGGTTCCTGGCCTTCAAAACCCCGCTAAGCCAGTCCTTCCAGGACAAGATGCCCATCGAGTGCACTTTTCGTCCCGAGATGCTCTTTGACTACTGCAAGACGCTTAAGGTAAGAGTTGTTAGAGGTGGCAATTTGGCCTAAAAAGGTGTTAATGTCTGTCTTACCTAGCAGCTAAAACTGGGCCTTTGGATTGACCTGACGAACACAAAACGATTTTATGATCGCAGCGTTGTTGAGGAGCGGGGCGCCCAGTATATTAAGTTGCAGTGTCTAGGTCATGGCGAAACTCCATCGCCGGAGCAGACTCGCAGCTTCATTGAACTGGTTGACAACTTCATCAATGAGCACCCGTTGGACGTTATTGCTGTACACTGCACACACGGCTTTAATCGCACGGGCTTTCTTATCATCTCGTATATGGTGGAAAGGATGGATTGCTCTGTGGAGGGCGCACTTGCCGTGTTTGCTAAGTCTCGTCCGCCGGGCATATACAAACAGGATTATATCAATGAGCTGTTCCGCCGATATGACGACGAGGAGGACGCTCCTCAGGCCCCAGAGCAGCCCAGTTGGTGTCTGGAATATGATGATAGCAATGGCAACGACGATATCGGTAGCAACAATAGAAAGCGTCGCTATGATGATAACTGTTCTTCGACCTCCCAGCAGGCTGCAGCGGCTGCAGCGGGATCTGGCACTGGAGGGGCTGAGGATGACGATGAGGAGGACGACTCAAATGCAAATTGTGATGGTGATGGGCAACAAAAGAAGAAGCGACGTCGCGAGCTGGTCGTCAAGAATGCGGCATTCATGGCCGGTGTACCCGGCGTGCGGCAGGTGACAGATCAGCCGCGTGTCGGTGAATTGCAGCGTCGGGTGCAAGACTGGTGCCACTGGCAGAAGAATGGCTTTCCTGGAGCGCAACCCGTATCGATGGACCGGCGCAACATCAAGAGGCTCAGTGAGATACCGTATAGGGTTTCGTGGAAGGCAGATGGCACACGATACATGATGCTAATCGATGGACGCAAGGAGATATACTTCTTCGATCGCAATAACTCCTGTTTCCAGGTGGAGAACATGTCCTTTGTCAGTAGCAAAAATCTACATGACCATCTCGATGGCACACTGCTGGATGGCGTAAGTGATTTAGACAGCATCTAGATGACGTCTCAAAGCCATGCTAATATAATTTTATATTTGTTGTACATTTGCAGGAAATGGTGCTGGACAAGATTGGTGACACTGTGACGCCACGGTATCTTGTCTATGACATTGTTCGCCTGGCGGGCCGGGATGTGCGGGAGGAACCATTCTTTCCAAATCGGCTGGAGTATATTAAAAATGAAGTTATAGGTGTGCGGGAATGAACCGAATCATCAATATATTTTGTATTTATGTTTTACAAACTCTTTGCTCCAAGGTCCACGCATCCTTGCCATGAAGCACGGCATTATTAACCGTGCCCTGGAACCCTTTAGCGTACGAAATAAGGACTTTTGGGATATAAGCACCTCGGCCCGTCTATTGGGCGAGAAGTTTTCACGTGCACTAGCTCATGAGCCTGACGGGCTTATCTTCCAGCCTTCACAGCAGCCGTATACCGCTGGCATGTGCTACGACGTTTTTAAATGGAAACCGCATGAGCTCAACTCCGTCGACTTCCGACTAAAGATAAAGACAGAGCGCGGCGAGGGGTAAGGCCAATTCAATATATTCTTGTATCCTGTTGACTATGAACTATTTGCTAATGTTTTCTCTAGGCTGTTGACCAAGAAAGTTGGCTTTCTTTATGTTGGCGGCCACGATGCCCCCTTCGGCCGCTTGCAGAAGCTGACAAAGGAGGTTCGTGAGCTAGATAACAAGATTGTGGAATGCACCATGAATCAATATGGTAACTGGGATTTTATGCGTGAGCGAACTGACAAAAAGTTGCCCAACAGCTACAACACCGCCGTCTGTAAGTGTTTCACTCTATACGACATTGCCACAGATATTAATCGAACGTTTCATTGCAGCCGTCCTGGAGAGCATCAAGCATCCTATTACCAAGGATTATCTACTAAGTTTCATTCAAAATTTCGGCTTCCGTGATGATCATACAATGATGCCGCCTCCAGCCGCACAGCGACGTTAGCCATGCTAAGAGCAGCTATCTCGTCTCCTATGCAAGACCACAGCCATCCCATAGATACCCTTGACATACACTCACTAGGAAATTATTAAACCATAATAAAGATTGGAATTCTGTTTTTCCGCAATTGCATACAAATTGTAAAATGTTTAAATTTAACGTGGATCGGGGTAAAGGCGCTAATAGTATTTATTTTTAGATTGATTTTAAATTAATTGGATTCAAGATCATCTGATATCCAGAGAGAGCTCATAGAAATAATCATTTCTAATTAAAGAAGAAAAATTGTTTTTTTTTTTTTCTAAATTTGTGTTTTATTTGTAATCGTCTTAAAGCAAACTAGATGCAAATAGATTAGCAACTATAAATTAACAGGATGGTTTGTGAACTAAGCTCCTGCTGGTCTTAGTTTAGACGCACTGGTACTTTCCTTAATATTTGCTTTATAACTGTTATTTTTATTCACTTCAACTAATTAACTTTTTTTAAGGAAAGGAACTTTATTTCAAGTTTATTCTTAATTTTTGTACAAATTAAAAAAATAAAATAATTTTAATAATGAGTGCTGTCTCCTTTGTTCAAAATAACCTCAAAGATCCGGTCTTTCATGGAGTGATACAATGAGTTTATGAAGCTCAGCGAAATCTTGCTCCAAGTCAGTTTAATTGCAGCTAGTTAGTGATTTTTTGTTTTCGTATTGTTTACCCCCATTCATTGAAAGCCATTCCCAAACACAACTCGGGCATTATGGACCGGAATATTATCTTGTTGGAAAATCCATGGCGATGGTCCGAGCAGATCCTTGATCTTGGGGAACTCGGACTGCAACAAGGTTTTGAAGCGCGCACCGGTCATCTTCTAATCTATGAAAACTAAATCTATTGCTCCATAAAATGTGATGGCACCCCACACCATTACTCCGCCTCCACGGCTGTGATCATATGTTCGTAAATCATCAGGGCCATCCCAAATAAAAACGTTTTTCATCAGTAAAAACAACCGAACGCCAATCATTGAGTCGAGTGTCGGATTGAACTGTCCATGTCATGTGTTCTCTCGCATATTGCAGCCGGTTTTCCTTACGTATAGCATTTAGAGGTGGTTTTTCCTTAACCTTCAGGAGCTTAAGATGTTTGCCTTTCTAATTGTACGCTGAACAGTTGAAAGGCTGGCGTTTACACCGGCTGACTCATTAATTTTAGCTGCAGACTTGGTTGAATCGCAGGCAAGTTGCGCAATTTTGCGCTCATCTCGGGAATTAAGTGCTCGTTTTCGCCCTTTAAATGCTTTCCATATGCCTCTGGATCTTTCAAATCTATCAATCAATCAGTTCTTGAGCTGCGTTTCATCTCTGGAAATATTTCTGTTAGTGGAACAAGTCTACTTTTTGACGTTCCAATAAGCTTAATATAGTAGCTTATCCCATTTTTGCTTAATTTAATTCTTAGTTTTTATTTAATGAACATAAAACCTAGAAAATCGATGTGCGCGTAATTCTATGACCATGTGACTGCAAATTTCGCATGTCTTCTAATGCACAGTTATCGTTTCGAATATCAATAAACTATGAACAGATGTTTTTCGAACTACACTCAACCTATGATAAAAAAAAAAACGGTTTTGGCAATAAATAATAAATAAATACCGTTTTTTATTTTATCAAAAAAAATATATAAAAAGGGTGCGTCTAACCGTTAGCCATAGTGGTTTATGGTCTAACCCAAGGCCAGAAGTCTGAGATCGTCATATACGAAACACTTTCCCATTTTGTCTCAATTCAATTTATTAATTTGAATGATATAACTTATAACAAAATAGATTCAACATAAGAATTAAAACGACATTAGTCAATAGCACTTTACCAACTACATAATTACACCTTAACACAAACTGATCATTTCATAAGTGGCTTCAAGGGATAAAATGAGTTTCCTAGATACCTAGATACAAGGCACAAGGCAAACACATAATAGTGATTAAAGAAAACGATTTCTTTTTACTCTAATCAGGTTCTAGCTGATTAGACTGCCGTTCTCGAGGAGGGTCTTCTCATTCAGGTGTCCGAGTTGCAAGAGCGCCACCAATGCGGCGCCCTGCTCGGCTTGCTTCTTGTTCTTTTCCCAGAAGCTGCTGCTAAAGCGCTGTCCATCATAGCTGCAGATGGATCGGAAGAGCTTGTCACACTGATGCGTCTCGTAGCTAGGCGCCTGCTTGCCCAGTTTGCCCGCCAGCACATAGAGCACCATCTTTGGCAGCTGGGTGTCTGCAAGGGGACAGAGAGATAGACTCGGATGTTCCGTTGAAATGGTAGTGGGAATACTCACCACTTGGGTAGGTGGAACGGAGGAACGCCATGTTGCGGCAAATGACGCCCTCGTACTCGTCCGCTAAATCCTCGGACCGCTCTAGTTTTTGCCTCTTAGCCAGACATTCTGTTAGTATCACATTGGCTCTTCCGCCATTGCCGTGCTCCTTAAGCTCCTGCTGCTTGCGCCTGCAGTAATCACCCAGGCCCCATATCTCGCATATCTGTTGCAGCGTCTGGCATTGCAGGAATCTCTTGCCGCGCGGCGTTTCCTGCAGCTCTTTGAGGATGCTTTGCACGCAATACTTTGAATTGTGCGGTGCATTATCATAATCAACGCATAACTTCAGATATTTACAGATCACCTCATCAATTGGCAAAATGCCCTGCTTCCGAAATATGGACACATTGAGCTGGGCAGCGCGGGCTACCATGACGCTATCGGCGCCGCACTCCTCCTGGAATTTTAGCAGATCCTCGTACGTGTGCATACTCCGGGACCCACCATTGGCTATAATAGGAATGTCTACGGCACTTGCAACAGCTCGCAAAACATCGGGATGCGGATGATGCTGCGGTCGCTCGTCTCGCGTTCGTGCATGGATGCCGATAGCGGCTATGCCCGTCGCTGCCAGCTCTTGCACCAGTTTGATGGTCTCCAAGGTATCCGGCAGTATCCGAATTTTGCAGGTGATGGGTATGTCCAAGTGCGTTGTGAGCGTTCGCAGAATATGAGCAGCTTTCTCTGGATCAGAAAGCAGTGCTGCTCCCATGCCTCCCTTAATGGAAAACTCCTTGGGGCAGCCCATATTAATGTCGAGGCCAGCAATATCATTCTGTACCAGTTTGCCTACGGCGAGGGCTCGTGCTGCATCGCTAGTGCCTAACTGAAGCACTACTCTAGATGTTTCTCGGGAACACGTGCGAAACACGATTGTGCCGTCAGAGGGATCCACGAAATCAATCGTATTTAAGGCGGCTAAGAGATTGGGCAATTTCTGTTATTATTTATATTCTGTTTAATAAATAAAGCAACTTACGATTTGGGCGACGTAAACTTTTGATCAACTTCAGATCGACGAGCTCCTCCGTGTAAACGATGTCGGCGCCCATTTCGAGGGCTAGTAGCCGCATGGGTAGCGTGCCCACTCGCACCATTGGTGCCATAATTATTTTGTTTCTGTAGTCGAGGCGCGGCTGTTTCCTCATTTTAGGTCTTGGAAAATTGCTGAGAAACGATAACCATTTAAAGCGAGACATCCAGACGGCACAGAAACGCAATATGCAATCGATACGTGCTAGACCCCCATATGTTTTCAGAGTTGCATTGGCAGCTATAAAAGTAAAGAAGTGACAAAACAAAACAAAGCAATCGATATTGAGACCTTTGCCTATTTGCAGCCCTGTTACTGTTTTTGTTGTATCAGTTGTATATATAGGATCCAAACCGTGTCTCGGTATTGTTGTCAAAATTCAATAGTAAATTAACAGATTAAACGCGTAAAGGAAATTTCTTATATTGATCAGAAATCTTACCAAATTTAATGCCAGCACGCTTAAAATATTCATCAACTAATTGGCGCTACGGCAGCACGAAAACCACCTCGTCCAGCAGATACCAAAGAGGAATCAGCGTTAGCCTTTAATTGAATTAGCGCCGTTCAGTGGTGCGCCTTTTAATTTTCCCACACACAGGTCAGTACCAACTTTAGCCCTGAAAACGTGATCAACTTGACCATCTTATTTGTATATATTAATTTCCACTCAACAGGACTAGTTAAAGAACGACTTACGGCGCAATAGCGGTCAAGGCAACATCTGCTTGGCTCCAGCTACTCCAGCACTCGAGTACTGAAGCCAATATAGGGTGTGTGATCCATTTGCATTGTCTGCTGAGCAAGGCCCAAGTTGTCTTTTAGCGCCAGCGCGCGCTATGCCAAAGATTCGTCTGGATACGATAAAGCGCTTCCACGGTGACTTAGACGAACCAACGATACGGTGAGAGATTAAAGTACAGCACCACACGATTGAGGAACATCATGTCCCTGCTGGCCCTCGGCGGCGGAGGCGGCGGCACCGAAGACGGCAGCTCCAGCGATACCGAACCCGATGCACTCATTGATTTTACGACTATGCTAATGGAGCGGAAACATGAGTGCACTGGGGGTTGGTTTAGCTGCGGAAGCAAGCTGCAGTCCCAGGCCCACGAGGACCACGGCTACTACCTTGGACAGTATGTGCTGGGCGTACTCGATTTTAGCTCGCAATATGGTATTGATTACAGCATATCCTACACGGCGTCTAATGTGATTGGCAGGCCAGCCAAATTTCCTGCCTACGGTGACTACCCAGAGACCTTTACAATGGTGAGCTGAGATTGTTGATTGGCATGTTAATTCTTCTGTTTCGCATTCGTTTTTACGAATCAAAATTGACATGAAAACATTTCCTGGGCAGGCTACAAATATTAGTTAAAATGCTTAAATATGTTTGAAAGAATAGAAAATATCTTCAAAAGCAATTTTATATGTAATTATGATGCGATATGTAAGTATGATATAAGTACAGGTTTCTGTCCGTATTAAGAAAATTCTTTCGTAAGATCTTTAGTATATTCCACTCAATGTGTAGCCTATATTCGTTCAACAGAAATAAATAGATTAGCGCCTATTCAGTTGATGGGAAATAAAATTACGAGAAGGAAGAAAATGCATTCTATAGTAGCTCCGGTATTGTTCGAGAAGTCTACATATATCGACTTTAATTTCCATTAATTCATTGTACTTGCTCTTTGTCTTACTTCCGTGTGCAGCGTACCTACGGTGATTGGTGGCAGCAAGCGCCATCGGCCACCCAAGAGATTCAGGCACAGAATTTGCCAGCTCTGCCCACACATGATTTTATTGGTAAGTATAGCACTTGCAGTTAACCTGACGAGCTGACGAGTTTGATCGAGTGGTTGCACGGCTTGCCATGCAGTTGTTTATTTTGAAAAGTTTGTGGTGCCAACGGAGGTCGCCATCTTCGAGACATTCAATCCGGGCGGCGTCGTGCGAATCTGGGCCTACAGCATCACCAAGCGTTGGAGCTGTCTGTGGGAGGCCACAGGGAGCGATTTGAATCATGTACCACGCGATTCGCGCCGCTTTGCACCGCCTCTAAGAAAAACTAATATAATTACCAAGTAAGCTTGCGTCAGTCACAGCTGTGTATATGCTCTGCTAACAATCATTTGCTTCTTTCAATGCAGAACGTTGCGCATTGAGTTTAATCACAGTCGACTAAATTACTACACCGAGATAGATGCCATTATGCTGTGCGGTAGAACGGTTCCAATGCGCTGCATGCACCAGCTGCTTTCGCCCGCTGGCAAGCGGCTCGCTAACACTAGAGAGGAGAGTGGAAATGGGCCCATCAGTTGCAAGTTGCGCACGCTGAAGTTCCAGCCCAGCTGCCAGGGGAACGATGCTGTCAAGCTTCACGAGTTTATTAACAACGACCTGAGCAAGTTCTTGATGGACAGCCGCGTGGAGTCTGAGCAACAAAAGAACAACAGCACGACACGAATCTGTCTAACGGATCTGCCGGTTGGCCAACCAATTTGTTTTACCAGCTCCGCACTTCATCTCATGTGTAAAGTCTTTCTCGTAGTGTGAAATCCTGTTGAAAATACTCAGCTACCTGGACCTAAAGTCGCTCTTTCGCATGGGTCAAGTGTCGCGCTTGTTCTACGATATTTCCACCCAACCGCTGCTCTATTGTGACCTCAGCCTAAAGGCCTATTGGCAACTGGCTGACTCCGAGCTGCTGTGTACGCTGGCGCGACGGGCGACGATGTTACGAAAACTGGACTTGTCATGGTGCGGCGGGTTCGGAGAAATTTCGCCCACAGAGTTCAAAAAGTGATTAGGCTTCAACACCTAAATGACTTGCCAATGATTACTTACAAAGCACTTTCCCTTGCATTTCCTCAACAGATTTCTAACCCAACGTGGTGACAATCTCACCCATTTGCGCCTTAACTCGTGCAAGTTTCTCAATGCCACCTGCATTGAGACAGTTGGTATAGTCTGTGATAATCTGATAGGCAAGTCAGCTGCATTTGCTCTTCTTCTTGCTCTACTAAACATTTATTTTGGTCCCTCTTATTCACAGAATTGAGCCTACGAAACTGCACGACGAACCCGCCGCTACTCAATTTTTCCTGCTTGGCCAATCTGAAGAATCTGGAGCGGCTCGATCTCTTTCAAACTGCCTTTGAGTCGGAGCTATTATTAAGCATGCTAGAAAGCAATCGAAAATTAAAGCATTTGAATCTTGGTGGGCTTTCATTCATCGCATTGTCATGAAAAGACTGTAGTTGTACTCAAACCTGTTCCTTTCGACAGCCTTCTGTGGTGTTTCGGTAAACATGGACAATGTCGCAACCCATCTGGGCACATACAACACCCAACTCGTGTCACTGGACATGTGGAAAGCACACTTTTTGTCCGCGCGGGGACTGCAATCGCTGTCTCGCTGCCAACAGCTAGAGGAATTGGATCTGGGCTGGTGGTAAGTAGTCACAAAGTCTCACTGATGCTGTCGGTATTCATAATCGAATTCCGTCTGTTGCAGCATGCGAGAAGCCACTTTGGGCGATAGCCTATACCAGCTGCTCTATAACTGCCCCAAACTGAAGAAACTCTTTCTGTCGGCAATGCGAGGCATCACAGAGCGTGATCTCATGCATATCGCAACACTGGGCAAAAATCTAGAGCAGTTGGATTTGATGGGCATACTTAACATAACCCACGAGCGCGTTTATGAGTAAGTCTCCCAGAATCTGCTGTAGAACTGTAGAACTTTGTTAGTTGTCTCTGCTAACAATTAATAATTCGGCTTTCAGCATTCTGGTGCATTGTTCCAAGCTAAAACTGTTGGATTTGTGCTTTTGTGACAACTTCATGGATAGTGATGTAGGTCAGCGTTTGATACTTCATTGAGCTCATCTAATCATTTTGGCTCTATTGCAGTTCGATTTAATTGCGGATTGGTCAAGACTCTTTAATGTGGATATTAAAAATAGCCGCATCTACAACTCCAGCTAGTTTTAATTGAATGGCATACCGCATGCTATATAGAGTAAGCGACAGTGTAGCTAATTTATATTATCTATGTGTAAAGCGTTTGCGCCAGCCTGTTTATAGTAACAGATGACGATTGTTGTTGTTGGGACGTAGTAATAAATTTGATAAAAAAAGACATTTCAGCTGATTGTCAATACGATCCATCTGGGCTTGTCTCAAGTTGTATTCCATCTGATCTAGCTAGATACAACAGGGATCCTGGTAGTCATCGGCACGGAATGCAGCTGCTTCGGTTGTCATCGGATCTGCATGGCACAAGGAAGAAGCAACGCATGTTGCACGTGTACTACGTTAAATTTGAATTTTATTCAAGTTGCCAATTAGCCCTGCCAACGCCGGGTAATGTCTTCCACTTATATTATTATAAATAACAATATATACAAAAAAATATATTTTCATTCTTAACAAAATCTGAGTTAGCGAGTTTACAATTAGGCCTTTGATGGATCCTCAGCTCTGCTGGCTATGGGCTCAACTTCTGGCACTTGCTCAACCCCATTCGTTGCTGGAGCTATGTCGGCGGATTGTTCGATGATGGGGGCCGTCTTCTCGCTTTCGACGGCGGCTGGCTTCTTGGGCGCCGGCTTGGCGTCGCCGCGTCCGAATATGGCCTTCTCAATGCCCAGAATGGGGGCCTCGAAGGCGAGCGTCGCAAAGATGGAGAGTGTGAGTGTGATGCCGAAGTCGTGCCACCAACGCAAAATCTGCAAGCATACGGACATTAGACATCAAGAGACCAAAATGCAATGTGAGCTTACCGCATCGTAGTCCGAGAAGTGGGTATCCGTTTGGAGCCGGGCGGCGTTCACGAGCTGCACGATTCTGTGTATCACGTACATGCAGTAGCAGAGCCGACTGAAGCCCGTGAAGAAGCCCCACGAGAGGAAGTCGTTGATGAGCCCGCCATGACCATTGTAGCAGGCCCACACGATCCAGCCGATGGCCAAGGCCCAGGAGCTGCGGCTGAGCGGCTCGAACAGGGCGCCCTCAATGAGCGGGGAGTCGGGCGTGTCGGGCAGGATTCGCCAGAAGGGACCCCACATATCCGCCAGCATCGTGCCAAAGGCCAGCACCCAGCCAGTGATCACCCAGTGCCTGGCCAGCGGGATCTGTCGTCCGCGATTGCGCGTGAACAGGAAGTAGCCGAAGATGACGCCGATCAGCCAAGTCGGAATGCGCGTATGCGTCGGATAGTAGGTCAAGCGCTGCCGCAGATCCACATGATCGTCCTGCACGCGGAACAGCGTGAAGTCGTTGTGCAGGAATGTCGCCACCGTGCAGCCCAGACAGAGTATGCCGAATATTCCAATGGGTATCAGCGCCTTCTTGCCCCACTTATAGAGCGGTATAAGGAACAGCGGCGAGAGGAAGTACAACTGGGTGTCTACAGCCAGGTACCACGACTGCGAGACGCACTGTAGTCAAAAAGTGGAAAGTTTTACCTCTAAATACTAATTCGAACAAGTAAGCTTGCTCTAGTCGAGACTGCCCAACTAGGAGGAGGTAATCTAAACCTACAATGTAACACTATATATTTATATAGACTCTCATAATCAAACTTCTAAATTGTGATAACTACATTTCCAGCTGTATATTTGCAAAGAACAGGCCTCGAATATTAGAATTCCTATTTCTGGGAATTCTCGGAAAGGCAAGGTGTTTTTAAAAATTACGAAGTCTTTGAAATTTTTACACGGACCCATGTACATAGTAGATTTGAAATCCTTAGCTCTTATGGCATACCAATCCCGCTTAAAAAACCTACTGAAATTGTAGATTTTTACGATAGTAAGCAAATGGGAGCAGCTATCAAGTAAATGAAGTGGACTCGCATTGCGTAAGGCATAGGCGAGTATACGTGTACAATTTGACGTCTCTGTCTAGTGGGGTTTACGAGATATTTGCGTTTATGCCGCAGGACAGGCAGACATGGATAGATAGATTCGGCTTGTCTATATATAGAATCTGCCACGCCTCCTCCTGCCTGTTACATGCACTTTCATACGCACAATATTTTCAATGGGTATAAAAAGAAAATGCTTGCACTTACGATGCTGTACGGGAAGGCATAGTTCTGCACGTAGAGCAGTGTGGCCCACCAGGTATCCGCACAGCGCTGATCCTGGGTACCCAGCTTGAACCACATGGGTCCGGCGCCGGAGTAGCGATATAGCGACATGATATAGAGGACGACCACAGCGACGACCGGCGTCAGGCGGATGTAGCGATGGAAGTACATCATCGGAATATTCAGCTTGCCCTTGGTGCGCTCCATCTCCCGGAAGGCGCCCCAGCACATCAGCAGGCCGGACATGAAGAAGAACGTGTCCACGCAGAGCGAGCCGTTCTGCACGAGCATCGAGTAGGGCGTCTGAACCCACGTGTAGAACTTGTTGCGGTTGATGTGCGGCAGGTCGTAGAACGTCATGTAGCCGTGGCCGAACACCACCCACATCATGCTGAAGCAGCGCAGTCCGTTCAGGCAGTGGATCACATTCGGATTGTTCACCTTCTTGACCGTGAAAATCTTTGGGGCATTGTGCAGCACCGAGAAAGCCAAGAAGAGCGGTCTCTTGGGCGCTGCAAACATGAAAGGAATTCGTTTCTTTTAGACTCTACAGCATTTCGGATCGGATGCCAGACCTACCGCCCTTTCGGGTCTGCACAAAGTCGTAAACGCTGCTGGCCAGCAGGAAGAATATGATCAGCGAGAAGAAAACGCTGCGCAAACAGAAATAACAAATTATTTGTAAAGTTTGAGATCTGGATCCCTAAGCCATTGGCCTCACTCACATGGCAAATATGTCCACCCCGCGGAGCTCGACGGGCGCATTGTATTTGCACCACTTCTGCTGGACCATCGGAAAGCTAAGATCGATGACATCGTTGCCATAGAGGTGTGCAATCGCGTACTTCAGCAGGGCGTCGGTTTTCTCCGCGCTGCAGGTGCTCGGCACACAGACGCCCAGCTCAAAAATCTCCGGATCCGTTTGCTTGTAGTTGATGCGGGAGAACTCCTCATGCCGGCGCTTCACCTTGCTGTAGAACTGGGTGATGTTCAGCCGTGCCAGGCAGTACTGCCCATTGAGCTCACTGCCGTAGGTGGCTGTGGCTGCGACGCACTCCTCGTACTGGCCCATGCTGATCAGATGGCCCCAGAAGAAGCCCATGGGCAGGCGACCCCAAGTGTCCGGAACTGCAAGTGTCGCAAAGGCAAATAATATAATCAGCTAAAGTGCCAAAGGGTTCGCTTATTATAAATTAATATTCATTTACTATTGCATTGCAAAGGCCATTGAATGAGAATTACTTTGAAGCTGATAAAATAGATAATACTCATAACTGGATAATTTTAGAAAAAACAAGAAAGCTCCACTCGAGATTGATCCCATTGACCCTTTGAGGAGCTGATATTACAATAACCCTGATTCCATTTGCCAAAGCAGAAGTCTCTACCTAAAGACCTAAATATCTTTTAATAAATATCTTTTAATAATTTAGTATGAGGGGGTGGATTATATAAAAAATCAAAATTTTTAAAATACATATGGAATTCATATTTGAAATTTGTAGAATCTACCTTAAAAGATGTAGGGAATATAATTTTATTACCGATTTTTGATAAGGCGATAATGGATAATCAAATAACAGGAGCAGTTACCGATCTTAGGATATCCGTATGTGTGCGTGTATACACAAGCCTACTGAAAATATCAATCTCTAGCTCTCATATCTTCTGAGATCTACGCGTTAATACATACAGACCGACGGACAATGCTAAATCGCTATCTGCCACGCCTCCTTCTGCCTGTTATACGCTGATTTCCTATTTTCTATGTGTCCAAGGTATAAAAAAAAAAAAAAAATCGCGTTCCACAAATATAAATGGAAAGGTATTTAATCTACGGCGGGGCAAAAGATAACATTTTTCCCCACTTTCTTGCTAGATCTACACCAGTAATTAATGGCACTTCTGATAGGCTTCTGTATGTGGCGCATTGGTGAAAGGGCATGTTATTTTTAGATCAGGCTATTCTCGAAGTGTGGGGGGGGCGCAAAAAACTCCGACGTTACTGGAGAAGCGCTTATCAGATGCGATTGGCTGTGTACAGGGTGTCCACTTAAATAGCGCTCTGATATCTATCGATCGTTGATCATCAATTGACGAACTGCTCGCCCTGAGCATTGCCATTCACATTACTGCTCGCTTAATCATGATTTATGATTGTTTGTCGCTTTGTAGTGGCAGCTGAAATCTTGCATCATAATAGAATTACCGCAATCTAATCGTCTATCAGAATGTACACGAGTGCATATGGCCAATCAATTTAGATTCCAAATTTGATTTACGATAGAGCATAAATCGTTTGCACTGACTTATGAATGGAAAAATATATTACAAAATACAAAATACTTGCGAAAAGCCAAGCAGGAAGTTATTCTCAATCGATCTCTCGATTGCTCCAGTAATTATTTGCATTGACAACTGAGTGGATAATGGGACTGAATGAATAATGTGTATACCTATATAACTAATTAAGTAGCGCCCTGAATGTGTACTATCCACTTTATTGAAAGTTCAAGAAAGAACAGATTATAAATAAAGAAAATGAGAAAAAAATATGTGTTTAAAAAAAATTTTAAAATTTCATTTACATACAACATCTTGAATTATTGACAATATTACTGCCCCAGTTTCAGCTAGCCTAGTCTTAAACTCAACCTACGGATATTAAATAATACTATTTATATATTTAGGAACATCATGTTAAATATTATATTTATCATCATGCATACTACATAGGGAATTTGAACTTAATATTACGGGAACATTCACTTTTGTTTCATTTTTTCACTTTAGATCTCTCATTATACCCTGTCTATACCTTGAACCTATCAGAATGGAAATCGGACAGCAAAGGTGCGCCCCTAGCTAGAAGGGCTAAATAGGTTTCTTTTAGTGGCGTGCTGTATGAATGAGGATTGCAAGCCTTTAATGGGCAACACTTAAACAAAAAAATTCGTTTA